TGAGTTACTGAAAATTGAGGGAGTGCATACCTCAGGATGTGCTGATTATATTTGCATACACTGGTGGAAAAACCATCTTTGGTCGGTCGGCCAAAATCCATAATAGTCCCGGTTGCAATAAAAACTGGGACTAAAAATAATCTTTAGTCCCAGTTAAAAACACCACAGCTAGTTTATGATCTTTAGTCCCGGTTGGTAACACCAACCGGGACTAAAAATCATCTTTACTCCTGGTTCATCCCGTGTTAGTAGCCTGTCAGAGGGCCAAGGATCTTTAGTCCCGGTTGGTGACACCAACCGGACTAAAGATCATCTTTATAGTCCCGGTTGATAATACTAACCGGGACTAAAAATTATTTTGATCTTTAGTCTATTTTGATCTTTAGTCCCGGTTAGTATTACCAACCGAGACTAAAATTTAATACGTAGTATATAATCCCTATCCCTTATCCTCTCCTACACTTCACAGATCCGTCCCCTTCCTCTTCACAGATCTAACTCCTCCTCCCCTTCTCCCATTCCTCCTCCCCTCCTCACTTCCCATCCGCCCCTTCTCCTCCCCTCCTCACTTCCCATCCGATCCGGTGGCCGGCGGCGGTGGCCCGGCGGCCGGCGGGGCCGCGGCGGCGGCGCTTCCGGCGGGCGGCCGGAGGTGCCGCACGCGGCGGCGGCCGTGCCCTCTCAACTGCCGGCCGGTCTCTTTTCTTTTCTTTTTTTTTTACAATTTGTGTTTGATTGAGATGTGAAATTTTGTGATTCATTGCATGGATATGAGATGTATAATCTGTGATGTATTTGATTTGTATGTATTTTTTAGGATTTGTGATGTATTTGATTTGAGTGTTTTTTTTAGGATTTGTGATGTATTTGATTTATGTTTATAAGTAACTTAATATTTTGGATGTTACTTTGAATTGGGGATTTAGGGATTGATTTAGGGATATACATGGCACTAAATTCGGGAGAAAATATAGAAATTAAATCTGGCAAAAGAAAAAAAAAAGCGCTACTCTCTTTAGTCCTGGTTGGTGTTATCAACCGGGACTAAAAATAGCGATATTTAGTTCTGGATTCGTACTCCCGGTTGGAAAACCGTGACTATATGGGGGTTACCAACCGGGAGTAAAAAAGCTTTCTGCACCAGTGATACATATACATAACTTGGATCGGGTGGTATCAGAAATGAAAATTGTGCAGGGTCGGCGTAAGTTTCAGAACTGGACGGAAGGCATCAGCAAGTCATATACTCGTATAGTGGATCTCCCGTTGGTTATTTATTCACCAGCTTTAATTTGATCTAGCATGATTGCAGTATCAATGTCATCTTGATCGTTTGATGTGACTGATGAGTCGATTAATTATATGTACACGTTTTGCCACTTCGATTTTGATGTAAAGATTTTTAAAAAGTATATGCTGGCCGTTCTGCACGTTGGTATGGTCATTCAATTATTGATTATATTATTTGATTTGTATCTTCTCTCGGTTTCCATGTTCAGATATATATTTCAGTGAAGATGACTAGCAGCAAGACAGCTTCTGGGTGGTTGGGAAGAATGTGTATGAGTCTTCTGCATGTCATAAAAGGAGAAACTAATTATATGAAGTGTATATACACCATGGCATGGATTGCAGTAAAATTTGTTGCATAAAAGGAGACCTGAGAGACGACTGAGAGCCAATATTTCAGAACTACAAATTGCGTTCAGAGTTCAGACAAAGAGAGACGCATGCAGCAGTGCTTAGTATGGGATTGGAAGGTATCGGTAATCAAACTAGTGCTTTCGCCTTCCTAACAGAACCCTCACTAAAGAAAGATCTTAGTACTAGCTACATTATTGGATGGCATTTTGTACCGATTTCTGCTAAATAGATCTTGTACTGATTTCCGCTGAAACATAATGTCATGTGGTCAGAAGAGATCAGGGGGTTAATAAAAGAGATGTCCAAGAGTTTATTCGACTAGACGGGGATCATATGTACTATGCAGTGTGGCATCAAAACTGCTCCATCCGTTTTTTAACACATGACGCTGTTAACTTGAGATACGTTTGATCATTCGTTTCATTCAAAAACATCATGTAATTATTATTTATTTTATTATGATTTGATTTGTCATCAAATATTCTTTAAGAATGATTTAAATATTTTTATATTTGTTAAAAAACTGTCAGGGTTATGGATATCACATACCCAATAGTAATCGACTAAGCTTAGCGGGGCCCACCATATACCAAGTCTTATACAGACATACCTCGTATATAGAAGAAATTCTGGATAAGGAAAGACGAGTAGAGTTCTATATGGAAACAACAGGGACTACTCTGATTGTATCCATATTGGTCTTCCTGGTTCTACTTGGACAAGGGGACATCTATTGTGTATCTATCTGTTGTTGTGTCCTCTCTCCCTACTCAAGCTAACACACGCCGCCAGACATCAACATCAGGCATAAGCCTAGACAGACCTCGTATGGTGCCTGCGGAGGCCGACAAGAGAGATCTAGCGCCATCTCTGATCTCGATGAGCTCATACTTCAGGAGGAAGACTACCATATCGTTGACTATGTGTTGGTTATCCATACCGACAAGTCGATGACATTTAGATAGGTTATCCCAATTATTGTATTTGTGTGATTCAGATGAATAAAGACCAACACCGGCTTCGGTCAACAGGAGTAGGGCTATTACCTGTCAGATAAGGGTCCGAACCTATATAAAGATCCTTGTTCCATCTCTTTTACCTCAGTCTCGCATATACCCTGATACCAACGATCCTCATACCATGCAAATACCATAGTCATGACCTCAAACATCGACAAAAATATTTTAAATAAGACCAATAGTCAAACGTTGATAAAAAAAATCAACGGCGTCATACATTAAAAAATGGAGGTAGTATTAGATATATAGACTTCAAATTAGATTTTCTGCCCTTTCACATCCGATGGGTCATTAATATTTATATTTTCCTAATGTGCACTGCAAGGAAAACCATTTTCCTAGACAATGGCAAAATATTTTTCAAGGCAGGTAGAACTCTCAGAACCAAACGTCCGCCTACGAAAACAGAAGGGAGGCGGGCGGGTAGGGGGGGATATCGAAAATGTACCTTCGCAGACGTACGTGGTCACCAAAAATAATGGTAGTACTATATTTTTTTTTCTCTATTGCTAATAGATTTCATAAATCGGAGTCTCGGATCACTTCTAGCGAGTGGTCTAGAATACTATACCAATGCAGGTCACCACAAATATATACTCGCTAGTAAAATGAAAATTCTCGTTTGGTGAATATGATGCACACTGGTACTGCGAGTACATTTTAATTATTTGTTGCTACTTATTTGGTCTTATAAAATGAGAGCTGAAACGAAGGAGAGGAAAAAGGAGAATAGAAAGGGCATGAGTACAGAGAATTGGTGCCTTTATTTATTACCGTGCATATAGTGAACTTACAAGTAAGATTGGGAGGCATGGGTAATAAAAGAAGCGCTCGTCTGTGGGATCGAACAGTTTTTAGTTAAGGGATGAACTGTGAAGCCGACTTTGTCTCCAAGAATTTACTAGTTTTCAGATTTGTTAGTGACAGAGTTGCCTCTTGTACTCTGTCAAAGAGAAGCCTCAGTCCACCAAGCTGAACTGTACGGCGCCTGCGAGCATCAGGTGAAGCTGCAAACCAACGTCGCTTTGGCAAGGACAGCAGTAGATTAATTAGCTTTGCGACATGGGGTTCTTCGAGTGAATTAGGTGTTCCTCCTCACCAAGGATGATGTCAATCGATGAATAAATTAATTAAGCATCTATAATGCTCGTTATGTCATATGTGGATGTGTAACTGATGTGTAAACTTAATCTCCGTGAAGTTTTTGGGTGACTACGACAAAGCGAGCGCAAATCGGAGGGATAAGTTGAGTCGGATGAATTCCGCATGAAAATTAATTAATCTGAATGAAATTAATAGAATGACGCATCAGCATAAACAAATTCAGCATGAACATTCTCTATTGAAATTTTTGGACAGAATTATCCTGAGTTTTCAAAAACATTGCCCACTTGTAGACATGTTCACTACTAAAAAATGGCCAAAGGTGCCGGTTCCTAAAAGGCCATAGGTGTCGGTTTTCCAACTGGCACCTATTGGTCAGCATTGATACTAGCAACCGGCACCTATAAGAAAAATAGAATCGGCACCTTTAGCATTGCTCGAGCCAAAAAAAAAAAGAGCTGGCTCGAATCCAAGCCGAACTCACTAAGTGCTATCAGTGTGCATGCGCCCATCCCAAAATCAAATTCCCAAACCCCAAAATCATCCACAAATCGTCACCAAAATAAATTGACATCACAGAATGAACATATTCAACAACAAATTCACAAAAACATGTTCTACAAATGACATCACAGAATAAACATATACTAGCAACCGCTAGCCGCCTCCCCTCTTGAGCCGCCGCCTGCCGCCTCTCCACCTAGCGGAATCGGCAGAGGGGAGGGCGCCGCCACAACCCGTCGCCCGCCGCCTGCCGCCTTCCCTCCCGCCAGATCCGGTGGAGGGGAGGGTGCTGCCGCCGCCCGTCGCCCGCCACCTCCCCTCTTGCACCGCCACCTGCCGCCTCCCCTCCTGCTGGAATCGGCGGACGGGAGGGTGCCGCCGCAACCCGTTGCCCACCGCCTACCGCCTCCCCTCTCGCCAGATTCAGCAGAGGGGAGGGGGCCGCCGCCGTCCATCGACCGGCACCTCCCACTTGCGCCACCGCCTGTCGCTACCCCTCCCGCCGGATTCGGCGGATGAGAGGGTGCCGCCACCACCCGTTGCCCGGCTGCCAGTCTCCCCTCCAGCCACCGCCGTGCGTGAGAGAGAAGTGAGAAGCCGAGAGAGAGAGGCAAGAGAGAGACAGACGAGAGAGACGAGAGAGGTGGAGTATTAGATAAGGTTGAGTGCATGGTTGACTCATATACTCCGTAGGGTATAAGGCCAATGCGTTGGCCTAGATCAGCTCGGAGGCTCGGCTCGGTTTGGATAGATGATTTATTATAAATTATAGGTGCCGGTTTTTAATTAACCGACACCTATGATTTTACCCTTAGTAGTTAAGTACCTGTACCAATACTTCAATATTTTTTTACATCGTGCCCATCACTCAAGAGCGTTGGATTTTTACCTTTTTAGAATGCAAACACCGTAGAACTTCTCGATCTTTTTTCAACTTTTAGGCCCCAATCTGCATTTCCCTGGGGACCCTAAATTACTAGAGACAGCCCTATGCTTCAGCTGGCCTAGAAACATGGGAATGGGATGCTCCACTCGCTCATAATCACTATGCACAAATGCATGCAAGCGTCCATCTAAAAATGGCCAAAGCCCACCACTTGCCGGTCCGCCATGAATCTATCAAAGCAAGATTTAGCTGCTTCATAAACTTAATAATACCCAATTACCCATCCATTCGATCATCTCCGGTTAATTTCATGGACACAACGACGACCATGGCGCCTCTCCCTCTCCTCACCACGACGTCTCTGCTGCTCTTCTTCTTCCTCGCGTCGTCGTTCGCCGCCGACGTCGTCGTCGCGGGCGGCGGCGGCGGCGGCGGCGGCTACGACGGCGGCGGCGACGGCGAAGGCGGCGGCGGCGGCGACGGCGAAGGCGGCGGCGGCGGCGGCGGAGCCAAGATGCCGCACGTGAACCACGGCAGGTACAAGTGCGGGCCGTGGGTGGACGGGCACGCGACGTTCTACGGCGGGCGCGACGCGTCGGGCACGACGGAGGGCGGCGCGTGCGGGTACAAGGACGCCGACGGGTACGGCGCGATGACGGCGGCGGTGAGCCCCGCCCTGTTCGACAACGGCGCCGGGTGCGGCGCGTGCTACGAGCTCAAGGGGGATTCCGGGAAGACCGTCGTGGTGACGGCCACCAACCAGGCGCCGCCGCCAGTGAACGGGATGAAGGGCGAGCACTTCGACCTCACCATGCCGGCGTTCCTCTCCATCGCCGAGGAGAAGCTCGGCGTCGTGCCCGTCTCCTACCGAAAGTAAGTACTCACGTGTCTATATATATGTAACGTGATATCATGGATGATTTACGTGCTGATCGATGTCATGCTCACATCGTACTAACATCGTCCCAAAATATTGCTACCCTAGTTCTCGATAGGACATTTCAAATCCAGTCTTATTATAAAGTTATAATCCACTAATTCTAATACTCAACATGTAATCATGACACCTCATCATCCGCTAGCATTAATTAAAAATAAAACTTACGCAAGCATGCAACATTATCTATAATTCATTGAACTCTACAAATCAACATCCAATCATCTTCACTCACATTATTCTTCACAATATTTTTAACATATATATATATATATATATATCCATTATTTTTATAATACTTAACATATATTTATCCATATAATCAATGTGCGGAATATCATATTTCATCTACAAATCTCATACAGAGTCTACTATGTATTAATCTCTTACCATATAGTTTGACAAACCAATTTTATTTGTTGTTAATAACTAATATAAATTTTACTTTTAGCTCGATTATTAAAAAAAACTTTAAAAGCTCTTTATTAATTTTCGCAGCAAAGTGCGGGGAAATGTTCCATCGGAAACTAGCGCTTAGTACCTAGTATTATATACTACCTCCATATTTTAATGTATGACACCGTTGATTTTTTGTCCAACGTTTAACCATTCGTCTTATTCAAAAAATTTATGTAAATATTATTTATTTTATTATGACTTGATTCATCATAAAATGTTCTTTAATCATGACATACATATTTTCATATTTGCACAAATAATTTGAATAAAATGAATGGTCAAACGTTGGTCAAAAAGTCAACGGCATCATACATTAAAATACAGTGGGAGGGAGTATTGAATAGGTCTGCTACCTATATTTCATGCTCGCATACTCTCTCCGGTTTCATTTTAATTAACGTTTTGGACAATGATATGGTCTACAAGATACATTTTTGACCTTATTTTTCTATTATAATATATATAATAAATAAATGCATGTTTACTTTTATTATAGCATTTTAAAAGACAAATCTATATATGTTCTTCTAATTCCTTTAAACTAAATATTTTTAAAGTTATTGGTGGCCAAAGTTATAAAAAGTTTGACCTCAATCTTGTCTAAAACGTCAACTAATATGGAACCGGAGGGAGTACCATTTTCTCAACGTCATCCCATGCGCTAGCACTCGTCCTTGCGTAATAATCCCTTTGTATTACTCGATGATTAATTTGCACATCGGTGTGCGTGCATGCAGGGTGGCGTGCGTGAGGCAGGGCGGGATAAAGTACACGATAACGGGGAACCCGTCGTACAACATGGTGATGGTGAAGAACGTGGGCGGCGCGGGGGACGTGGTGAAGCTGACGGTGAAGGGGACCAAGCGGGTGAAGTGGACGCCGCTGCAGCGCAGCTGGGGCCAGCTCTGGAAGACGGAGGCCAACCTCACCGGCGAGTCGCTCACCTTCCGGGTCATGACCGGCGACCACCGCAAGGCCACCTCCTGGCGCGTCGCCCCCCGCGACTGGACCTACGACAACACCTACCAGGCCAAGAAGAACTTCTAGCTGATCGATTTTTTTCAACTTATTTACTTATAATATTTTTACCTCTCCCTCCGTTCTCTCCCTACTTAATTGATGAATTTTTGGAAGTGAAAACTAATTAACACTGAATTTTTTTCTTACGAATTAATCCTCTGCGTATTTACTAATTTGAGTTTGAAAGAATTCGTTGATAGTGATATTTGATGGATATTCATGTAAGCTTTGGAATCTTAAATTTTGATGTACTGGTCGAAAATGCCATTAGCATTGCATTTATTCTGTTTTTATTATTATTATTTTGGCTTCAAAGACCAATTTTTCTGACGGTTCCAACACTGTGATGGTTTTCCCTAATGTGTCCACGTCAGAAATTGAATTTTTACAAACCCGTTGTACTTATTTCTGTTGTGCCGTCAGTACTTATTTTTCTTTGCAGAAACCCACAGGAAAATGAATTCTTCGATGGACCTTTTTCTGACGGCAGTTTCTGTCGGTTCACCACAGGAATTTTTCTGTAACGGTAAAATTTATTTTTCTAATGGTCCAGCCAAACATGCTAGCTCGAGCATGTGGTCTATGTCTCCTACTCTCTAGAATTAATATATGCTACTGTATTATGTTGGGCGTTCCGACAACTATAAACTCCCTATCTTATTAAATATGTCTATAGATTATTGTAGTAATAATGGGCTTAAATTTGTAATGATGTTAATCATAACATCTCTTTAGACGGGTGTGTAGCTGATAGTCACATTAGTATATCTCACACATACATATATTTGCTCATCACTGATATATATAACTTTGAATGTTCTGAAACTTAGTCAGATCATATGAATCTAAATTAAAATGAGGTTCATTTGTAAACCGTCCTTCATTATAATGTGATTTGTAAAATTATATGCACGACATTATTACATTTTCCTTATTTTGTTCTTTTATTTGTTGTTGGATCTTATCAAATAGATGTCAATGATCTATTTGTAAATATTTTTTCCCAAAGGAAAGTCACGTAGATAGAGTAAGAGGGTCTATTTGTAAATATTTTGTTCTTTAATATTGAAGGTATACATAGTAGAATTATACTCCCTCCATACTCATAAAGGAAGTCGTTTAGGACAATGTTTAAGTCAAATATTGGGAATATAAATCATAAATAACTCTCAAATTGTTGAGTTTGAAAATATAAAAATTATATGAATAGATTTGTCTTGAAAAATACTTTTATAAAAGTATACATATATCACTTTTCAATAAATATTTTTATAGAAACAAGAAATCAAAGTTGTGTTTTGGAGACCGTGCCGCTGTCCTAAACGACTCCCTTTATGAGTATAGAGGGAGTATTCACAACTTAACTATTTTTTTTCTTAGTAGGCCGAGGAAACTTCACAAAGTATTACTACTCCCTCTATCCAATGGCTCACATTTTTTCTAGCTATTTTGTCTTCGTGTGAACCCAAAGGCTATTATTTTGTTGATCATGTGGCTCATCCTAGTTGATTTTTGGAATTCGGATGTGGTGTTTAATTTGATCCAATTAGGTGTGCTATGAACAGAAGTCACCATTGATGAGGAAGATGAAACCAGAGGAAAATATATATTTTGTTGATCATGCTCGTCTTGGATAGACGTTGAGGCCCATAAGGACCGTTAGAATTTAAACGGCTCGTATAAAGTTCTGCCTAAATCGTCGAAATATAGGTTAATATTTGGCCCAACAATATGGGCCTCTTCAGCCTGGTTCACAGATAGAAACCAATCGATACGGGAATATATTATATAGCAACGGTATGAATAATGTGCAAAGTTGTTTTTTTAATTAGACTATGATATGTACAAATTATAAATTTGATCGATCAATCACCCAAAAAGATCTTAAGAAAATTGAGATGATGTGCTATTTAAAAGCATAGAGATAATTCCAACCATAGGTTGATCATCTGGAAGCTGAGAACAATTGAGCTGACATGGTTTTATGAAAGAAAAGAAATAAGATAGGTAATAAATTTGGACCAGAGATTAATTATTCGAGGGCTAGTTAATAAATAGAAAGGGAGTTAAACCTTCGTAAGTAAGAGAGAAAATTAATTTGTACTTCTCTCAAAGTCTCAACTACTTCCAAGTGTATGCTTCTTTCAATGCATTCATATATCCAAGCTCAACAGTATACATGCTACTCTCTGCTCAGATCAAACAAGATCTGACACAGGAAGAGAGATGGAGTATGCAAGCCAAATTGGTGTGTGTGCTAGCTAGTTTTCACATTTAATTTTCAGATGTGAACTCGAGCTTAATTTAGAGAATTCAAAGAGAGAAGTCCAAGTCCAAGCACATATAGCAAAGACAAATCAATAAAACATGGGATTAGGAGGCACCGAGAACAAAAGGAGTGCCATGGTTTTCTAATAACTTTCTGAATTCAAATCTTCCTCATCAGTTTTTCCTAAAGGCAACGTCACAAATAATGCCCTTCTAATGTGGAGTCTTTTCCCCCTATGCCACTAAAAAAGTTGATGCTTACCTGTGTACCATAAAAAAGTTTAGAGTCACATGTATGCTATGAGAAAAACTTTCGTTGACCAGTGTGCCATTCCGTCCACCTTCTGTTAGAACTTAACGGTTCCATAGCTCTGACATGTGGGACCCATGTATGAAAATTACTAATTTGCCCTTAAGGATTTTCAGCTCTCTTCTCCTCTCCTGCTATCTCCCGTGAGTGCCTGCTCTCTCCCCGTTGCGCTGCACGCCGCCGCACCCTAACCCTAGCCGCACACTGCCGCCGCCGCCTCGCCTCGCCGGAGCCGTCGCCGCCGCCGTGCGCCCAGGGCAGCGCGCCCCTGCGCTAGGCCGTCGCGCCTCCTCCTCTCCTCCTCTAGGGCCCGCGCGTTCCCGCGTCCTCCCTCGTCGCACGGCGCGTGGGCGGCACGCGCGGCAGGTGGTGGTTGGTTCGGGAGGGCGGCGTCGTCGCCGGTCACCGGGTGGTGCGGCGCCAGGGCGCAGATTGGGGCGGTCAACGTAAGTTAGGCTCATGGCATACAAGTAACTCCAAAATTTTTTGTGGCACACAAGTAACCAGTAAATTTTTTAATGGCATAGGGATAAAAGACTTTTAGATGTGCCTTCTTGGGAAGTTCACTGGGACTACGGTTATCTGAACTGTTGAATCATCAACAAACTAAAGTTTGGTGAATTATGCTTTACCATAGTTTTCGTATCACCCACGTAATAAACAGGTTCAGAAAAGAAGGCTAAACTTCAGCAGAAGAGCCATTTAGTGCCATTTTTACACTATAATGGTAAATTTCACATGCAGAGGCCAATCCTAATGGGCCAGGGGATCTGTGGATAAGGCCCAGGTGCATGGCTGGGGATGGCCCAGTGGCTGAGGCCCCCTCATCCGCACCGCGCAGTTCCATCTCCCCACTTATGTTTTATTTTTGTTTTCTCCATCGCGCGCCTCATTTGCTCTGATCGGCCATCGCATGTATGCTCTTATTTTATTGATGTGAATCAAGTTTGAATTGATGAATTTAAACCTTGTTTGCATTTACGTGCATAAATGCTTTGGAACTTTACTCTCAAGAGATATATATACAGACACTGAGGCAGGTGAAATGAGTGAGACCAAAATCATAAACATCCTCACACCGATATATTTTCGGGGTTCTGTATGACGGTTTTACAGTTCACCAGCACACATGTATAGGATTGGGAGCTGATCTGGAAATGAAAATGGTGCAAATTATATTGAGATACGTATATAGGATTGGAAGGTATTAGAGCAGGTACAATAATCCTATGTAAGCAGGCTATAACAACAAACAAGTTATATTTATGTTGAGAAAAAAGAGTGTGTGCGTGAAGAGAGAAGCTAGTGTGGGCACTTATTTTGTCGCCAGAGCTAACACCGGCTCCCATGCATGCTGTGGGGTCCACTAGTGCTCAGCTTATGTGGGTGACCAGCTAACCTTCCTCCCGCTAGTGTGAAAGTTGCTCATTCAGGTAAAATATAATTTTGATAGTTGTGCAAAGCAATAATACCAACTGCCAGATACTGTATAACTCTATTGCTAACGTAGATTGTTTTGGAGCCAACAATCAGCTACACTATTGAACTTGTTCTTTGAGTAGGTATAATAGTGTTGATTCAGCCGGAGATAACAAGTCAATAACCACCACATCAACATTGTCATACAAGGAGGAGGGAGAAAACATGAGAGAGAGAGAGAGCAGAACCAGCGCTTCTGCTAGCACCGGACGATAGCAGCAAATTATACAAAATGAAATATTTTATTTGCTTCATGGGTTTCTGGTTCAGTTTACTTGATCTTTTATGTATATGTATACTGTGTGGCTGCATACACAGCTTATTTTTGCGCTCAAGCAGGATAGACCATAGAGATAGAGTTTAGTTTCGATCACACGTGCGTGCAATAATTAAACCCGTTCATGCTTCCTTAAAGCCAATCTTTTATATAAACAATCTGCAATGTAAACTATAGATAATATGTACTCCCTCCGTCCCAAAAAAAGGCAAACCCTAGGTTTCCGTGTCCAACTTTGATTGTCCATCTTATATAAAATTTTTTTATAATTCGTATTTTCATTGTTGTTAGATGATAAAACACGATTAATATTTTATACGTGACTTGTCTTTTTAATTTTTTTCATAATTTTTTTAAAGAAGACGGACGGTCAAACGTTAGGTACGAAAATCAGGGTTTTTTTTTTTTTTTTGGACTCGGAGGGAGTACGTACACAACCGCCGACTGTTTGAGATTAAAGCGATGCATACGTTGGTTTCAGAACTCAGTGGAAGGCACCATCTATTTATCAATCAATTAATTATCATGGACAACCGATCGATGGAGCACTTTGGCGGACACCAGGCCTACTGACCTTCAATGCTACTGTACGAACAGGGTTTGAAATTTCGGTTCGAACTTTCCGGAATTTCGCCCCCCTACCGGCATGCCGAAATTTCAAACCTGACTATACTTTGGCCGTACGTGCCACACCACCGCTTTTTCGTCAGATATATGCCGTCGTCTCTACTGCTTTGCTGGATCCGGCAAACAAGATCTGACACAGGAAGAGAGATGCAGTATGCAAGCCAAAGGTGTGTGCGCTAGTTTTCACGTCTCCAGATGTGAGTACATCTTAATTTAGATAATTCAAAGAGAGAAGAAGAGCATTAGCTCCAGTCCATGCACATAGCAAAGACAAATCAATCTTAAACATGGGATTAGGAGGCACCGAGAACAAAAGGAGTGCCAGAGTTTCCTGCTGATTAATTTTCTGAATTCAAATAGGAGGATGCATTATCTTGGAA